TCAAGTGGTGTTTGAGACTATTCAAAGGTGTTTTTACAGGTGTTCGAATGATGTGCAAGAGTATTTATGAAGGAGTTCTGGGAGTATTCAGTGGTGATTTGGGGGGGTTCAAATGATGTTTTTGGAGTATTCAAAGGTGTTTTTGGTGTTGTTCAAAGTAAAGTGTCTGAGTTAGTTTTTGTGATACTGTTGTAAAAATCTGGAGAATGAGGGAGGAGTTTTGGGGGATGAGTTGTAATTTAATGAAATATATAAGTGTAGATAAATTAGAGATGTCAAATCTTATTTGGGAGTATTCAAAATGTTGTCTTGGAAATGTTTTAGTGATGTTTGGAAATGATCAAAGGTGCTTTTGTGAGTATTCAAATGATTTATGAGAGTGTTTTGAAGGTGTTCAAAGTAAAGTGAGGTGTGTGTGTGTGTGTACTCACCTATTTGTGGTTGCAGGGGTCGAGTCACAGCTCCTGGCCCCGCCTCTTCGCTGATTGCTACTAGGTCCTCTCTCTCCCTGCCCCATGAGCTCTATCATACCTCGCCTTAAAACTATGTATGGTTCCTGCCTCCACCACATCACTTTCTAGGCTATTCCATGGCCTGACTACTCTATGACTGAAGAAATACTTCCTAACATCCCTTTGATTCATCTGAGTCTTCAACTTCCAATTGTGACCTCTTGTGTCTGTGTCCCATCTCTGGAACATCCCGTCTTTGTCCACCTCGTCTATTCCGCGCAGTATTTTATATGTCGTTATCATGTCTCCCCTGACCCTCCTGGCCTCCAGTGTCGTCAGGCCGATTTCCCTAAAACCTTTCTTCATAGGACAATCCCGTAGCTCTGGGACTAGTCTTGTTGCAAACCTTTGCACTTTCTCTAATTTTCTTGACGTGCTTGACTAGGTGTGGATTCCAAACTGGTGCTGCATACTCCAGTATGGGCCTGACGTAGATGGTGTACAGAGTCTTAAACGAATCCTTACTGAGGTATCAGAACGCTATCCGTAGGTTTGCCAGGCGCCCGTATGCTGCAGCAGTTATCTGATTGATGTGCGCCTCAGGAGATATGCTCGGTGTTATACTCACCCACAGATCTTTTTCCTTGAGTGAGGTTTGCAGTCTTTGGCCATCTAAACTATATTGTGTCTGCGGTCTTCTTTGCCCTTCCCCAATCTTCATGACTTTGCATTTGGCAGGGTTAAATTCAAGGAGCCAGTTGCTGGTGTGTGTGTGTGTGTGTGTGTGTGTGTGTGTGTGTGTGTGTGTGTGTGTGTGTGTGTGTGTGGTGTGTGTGTGTGTGTGTGCTTATTAACTTCGTAATATGTAAAATTGTGTTTGTGAATTTATCGAAAAGTGGTTATAAGTTGTAAGTGTTGTGGTGACTTTTTCTGATGAAATAGTTAAAACGAGAAAAATGTCAAGACTTGTGTTGTATTTTGTAAAGAAATTGTGGATTGTTGTGGGTATTAACACAAAAAAAATGTGAAATTATTTGGGTTATCCTGGGATAAGAGTGAAAATGTGTAATGTTTTCCCTATGTTGTATATGAAATGTGTAATACTGAGATGGTGACGACGAAGAAGATCCAGAACAAAATGCACAGAATTTCTTCAAGAGAAAAATATGTTGATTTTAGTCAATGAATAGTATCTTTTTTCAATGAATTTTTTTTGTTGGATGTATATGAAATGCATTGGTTGTATAATAAATAAATGAAAATATTGTGTATTAGTGTTATCCTGCATTTTATTGTCTGCTCGACAAGATTTAGCCCGTGTTTGTGAGGTCATCACGTGACGTCACTGACCGCCGAGTAAACACAGGTGGGGTGATGTCACACTTGTTTAGACCTGTAGTAAGAGAAAGTACCATGCCCCATAAGGGGAGTTCATTTGAATGCTTACCCCTAGAGGGGGGAATCCAAAAACTTGATCCGAGGAGATGGAGTCTTTTTATTATTTGATATCGAGAAAAACTTGATCCAAGGAGATGGAGGAGAAATACTTGAGGTAGAAGTGGGTGGTGGGAGGTGTGAGGGGGGGAATCTTTGTATTATTGATATCGAGAAAAACTTAATCCGAGGAATTGGAGAATACAAGAAAATTCGAAACCCCCAGAGGGGGAGAATCCAGAAAACTTGATGCAAGGAGATGGAGGAGAAATACTTGATCCAAGAAGATGGAGACCACAAGAAAATGAAATTCAAAAAAAAATATCAAAAAAAAAATTTGGGATGGGGTGAAAGGGGGAGGGGGAACCTCAAAACTTGATCCAAGGAGATGGAGAGCACATGAAATTAAAAAAATAATTCGAAAAAAAATCGGAAAAAATTCGGGGAGCGGGGGCGATCCGGACGACGCTGCAGAAGGCGCGGGCTGGCACGAGGGCAGGCACGCGGATGGGGCACCTGTCGGGCAGGCGTGGGTAGGGGGTTGAGAGTGAGGTGGTCGAGGGTGGGGATCGTGGGTGGGGGTCGTGGTTGGGGATCGTGGGTGGGGTAATGGGTGGGGGCCGTGGGTGGGGAGCATGGGTGGGAGTCGTGGGTGGGGTTCGTGGGTGTGGGTTCGCGGGTGGGGGTCGTGGGTGGGGGTCGTGGGTGGGGGTCGTAGGTGGGGGTTGAGGGCGAGGTCAAGGTCATTAGCATGAAGGTGTGAAAAGGAGTCCGCTCATGAATACAGCGCTCAGCCATAGGAGCCACTCAGCCCCATGCGTCGCTCAGCCGCCTTCAGCACTACTTATATATATATATATGTATATATAAGATAAGTGAATATATATACATAAGTTAAGGATCCAGGAGACCGGAGAGTAAGACACTCTCTCAGCAGCGAGCAACCAGGAGGCACCACGACTTCTGTGCCAGGCAGAAGTAATACTCATCTAGCTGGGGTTGAGGGGAGTTGCAATAGCACCAGTCTTTCACTCCTGGAGTTGTCAAAACTAGAGTAAACAGCATTTACTAAGGTGTAAGTGTGTTAACGCATTGATTACGGTTAGCTAGTGTGGGGAACCACCAGTATTCGATAAACAAACGTGCACATGCAAGTACCCATGTACACAAACATACGAACAGGCATACGTGTTTTTCAGACACTTGCAGAGCAAACTTAGTGGTATACAGAAGGGTGAGGCGCAGTTTAGTGAGGAGGATTATTATTCCGAGCACACAAACAAACACCCACACCCAACACACAAACAGACAGACAGACAGACAGACAGACAGACAGACACACACACACACACACACACACACACACAAACATCGAAGTCCGAAGACCAGGCAGAACTACAAAGGGATCTGGACAGGCTGCAGACCTGGTCCAGCAATTGGCTCCTGGAGTTCAATCCCACCAAGTGCAAAGTCATGAAGATTGGGGAAGGGCAAAGAAGACTGCAGACGGAGTACAGTCTAGGGGGCCAGAGACTACAAACCTCACTCAAGGAAAAAGATCTTGGGGTGAATATAACGCCAGGCACATCTCCTGAGGCGCTCATCAACCAAGTAACGGCTGCAGCACATGGGCGCCTAGCAAACCTCAGAACAGCATTCCGACATCTTAATAAGGAATCGTTCAGGACCCTGTACACCGTGTACGTTAGGTCCATATTGGAGTATGCGGCACCAGTTTGGAACCCACACCTAGCCAAGCACGTAAAGAAACTAGAGAAAGTGCAAAGGCTTGCAACAAGACTAGTCCCAGAGCTAAGAGGTATGTCCTACGAGGAGAGGTTAAGGGAAATCAACCTGGCGACACTGGAGGACAGGAGAGATATGAGGGACATGATAACGACATACAAAATACTGAGAGGAATTGACAAGGTGGACAAAGAAAGGATGTTCCAGAGATTGGACACAGCAACAAGGGAAGACATTTGGAAGTTGAAGACACAGATGAATCACAGGGATGTTAGGAAGTATTTCTTCGGCCACAGAATAGTCAGTAAGTGGAATAGTTTGGGAAGTGATGTAGTGGAGGCAGGATCCATACATGGCTTTAAGCAGAGGTATGATAAAGCTCACGGTTCAGGGAGAGTGACCTAGTAGCGACCAGTGAAGAGGCGGGGCCAGGAGCTCGGACTCGACCCCTGCAACCTCAACTAGATGAGTACACACACACACACACATTGTGAGTGTCCACATGCATGTATAACATGTCCATGCATGCACTAACCCAAAACTAATGCTCACACAAGCACAAGCATACACACACATACATAGGCACACACACAGGCAATTGCCACTTATTGTGACTTGATAGTACCCTACCCTACCCTACCCAACCCTACACTACCCTACCCATTCCTTTCCTTACACCTTTCTCTCTCTCCCTCTCATTCCTCTCTCTCCCTCCCCTACTCTTCTCTCTTCTCTCTTTTCCCTTCCTCTGTCCCTCCCTACCCCCTTTTCTCTCCTCTAGCCCCCTTCCCACACTTTCTTCACCCTATCACTCTCCCTGTCCCTGTCCTTCTCACCACCTCTCTCCCCAATTCCCTCTCTTTTTCTTACTCCCTCTCTCCATTCCCCCTTCTCCCTCTATCCCCCTTCCCACTCTTTCTCCCCCCCATCACTCTCCTTCTCCCCTCCCTCCCTCTCCCCCATTCCCTATCTTTTCCTTTCTCTTTCTCTCCCTCCCCCCCTTCTCTCCCTCTAGCCTCCTTCCCAATCTTTCTCCACCCTCCATTACTCTCCCTGTCCCCCACCCTCCCTCTCTGCCTCTCTCTTTGCCATTCCTCTCTCTTTTCCTTCCTTCCTCTCTTCCTTCCCCCTTTCTCTCCCTCTAGCCCACTTCCCACTCTTTCTACACCCCATCATTCTCCCTATTTCCTTTTCACCCTCTCCCCATCTCTCCCCTCCCCCCTTAAAACTCCCACACACACACACGTGTACACATTACAACACCTTAAAAAAAAAAACACTGGTGGCTCAGAGGGAAGTAGACGGCTCAGGGGATCAGAGGAAGATTGTCTAGGTAAGGAAGACTGAATGGTAGAGCAATGTAAAAGGATGGAACAAGAGTGGGAGAGCAAGCTAGAGGAACTTTCTGCAGAAATGGAGAAAAGGATAGAGATTGAGATGAAATGGGAGTCGCAAGTCGAAGCCGCAGCCAAGATACAGGCCCAAGAATATGAGGTAAATAAGCTAAAGCAAGTTACAAGGCTGTTGTCCAGAGGAGACAAGACATCTGAAGCAGGTACATTTCTACTGAATGAGCAGCCCAACAGTAAGGAAGGAGACATGATTTACTGAGGCCCTATCAGTCTGCCATGCAGGGCTGAGGAATGAAGGGGGAGAACTGTTGGGAGCAAGGATAGCAGTATGGGAGAGGGGAGAAGGTGGAGAAGAGGACAGGTCCCAAGAAGAGGCATGACCATTCCATCAAGAGTTGCAGGAAAAAACAATGGCCATGTACAAACGGGACCCAGAGGCAAATAGGGAAAGGCAATGGGAGGAGGGGAGGGAGAAGTAAGTGTTTATTCATGGGCATCAGGAGAGCAAGGGCAGGACGTGCAATGAAAGACGGCAGGAAGGAAAACATCATCAAAGAAATAGGCGAGGAGGACGTTACTGAGATAGTAAATTTTCAGAGAATAGGAGGGTACTTGAAGAGGAGAAATCGACTGATCTGACTGATTTTCAAAACAGAAATGGTGCAGAACAGGATCCTGCAAGAGAAACCAAGGCTGAAGGAACCATCAGCTTACAAGAGGGTGTTCCTAGATTGCGATAGAACAAGAAAAGAACGACAGTAGCTGAAGGAGATGACACAGAAACGAAAGGGGCTAAGACGAGAGACAAGGACAGAGTCAACAGAGGACAACCAGAAAGAGCATTGCAACAAGTGCAAGCACACAGAATCACCCAAAGAACACCACACCCAAACACACAACCCCAACACAACCCACAATCCACACTTACAGCCCCCACCTCACACTACACTGTGGAATCCCATATCACACTGCCAGATCCTCCACCCTCACAGACCCCCCAAAGCAGAGTGTTGGTGAGGAAACTGAAGGTATGGTACACCAACGTCGATGGAATAACGAATAAGTGGGAGGAGTCGCATGAAAGTGAGAGAGAGAGGAGAGGATGAGCCAGCGAGATTGGACCTAGTATTCACCTTGAGTAGTGCAGATATTTAGAACATCACATATGAAAGACCTCTTGCAGCCAGTGATCATGGAAGGGGAAGCAAGAAGGGCCGAACGAATAAAGCCCAACTACAAGAAAGAGGACTATGCAAGCATGAAGAACTTCCTGAATGGGGTTCAGTGGGACAGAGAACTGGCAGGGAAGTCAGTAGACGAGATGATGGAATATGTGACAATATGCAACGAAGCTGAGGAGAGGTTTGTACCCAAAGGTAACAGGAATAATGGAAAAACCAGGATGAGCCTGCGGTTCACCCAAAGGTGCAGGGAGGCCAAAACCAAGTGTGCTAGGGAATGGAAGAAGTACAGAAGGAAAAGATCCCAGGAGACTCAAGAGAGCAGTCATGGAGCAAGAAATGAATATGCACAGGTAAGAAGGGAGGCCCAAAGAAAATACGAGGTTGACATAGCAGCGAAAGCCAAAACCTGACCCAAAGCTGTTGCACAGCCACATCAGGAGGGAAACAACAGTCAAGGTCCAGGTAATCAGACTAAGGAAGGAAGGAGGGGAGGTCACAAAAAATGACCGTGAAGTATGTGAGGAACTCAACATGAGATTCAAAGAAGTGTTCACAAAAGGAGACAGAAGGGCCTCCAGAAAGGCGGTGAGATGGGGTACACCATCACAAGTTGGACACAATACATACAACCGAGGAAGAAGTGAAGAGGCTGCTGAGAGAGCTAGATACCTCAAAGGCAATGGGGCCGGATAACATCTCTCCATGGGTCGTGAGAGAGAGAGTAGAAGCGCTTTGTGAACCACTAACAGCTATCTACAACACATATGGAAACGGGCGACTACCAGAAGTATGGAAGACATCAAATGTAGTCCCATTTTTTTTAAAAAAAAAGTAGACAGACAGGAAGCATTAAACTACCGACCAGTGTCACTGACGTGTATAGTATGCAAGGTCATGGAGAAAATTATCAGGAAGAGAGTGGTGGAGCACCTAGAAAGGAATGAGCCTATCAACGACAGCCAGCATAGTTTAGGGGACGGGAAATCCTGTGTCACAAACCTACTGGAGTTCTATATCAAGGTGATGGCAGTAAGACGAGAGAGAGAGGGAAATGTAGATTGCATTTTCTTGAACAGTAAGAAGGCGTTTAACAAAGTTCCACACAAGAGATTAGTGCAAAAGCTGGAGGATCAAGCAGGGATAACAGGGAAGGCACTACAATGGATCAGGGAATACTTGTCAGGAAGACAACAGAAAGTCATGGTACATGGCGAGGTGTCAGAGTGGGCGCCGGTAACGAGTGGGGTGCCACAGGGATCATTCCTAGGACCGGTGCCGTTTCTGGCATTTGTGAACAACGTAATGGAAGGAATAGACCCCCAGGTGTCCCTGATTGCTGATGATGTGAAGTTGATGAGAATAATTCAATTGAACGAGAACCAGGCAGAACTAGAGGGATCTGGAGAGGTTGCAGGCCTGGTCCAGCAACTGGCTCCTGGAGTTCAACCCTACCACGTGCAAAGTCATGAAGATTGGGGGAGGGTAAAGAAGACCACAAACGGAGTACAATCTAGGGTGCCAGAGCCTACAAACCTCACTGAAGGAAAAGGATCTTGGGGTGGGTATAACACCAGGCACATCTCCTGAGGTGCACATCAACCAAATAACTGCCGCAGCATACGGGCGCCTGGCAACCCTGAAAACAGCATTCCGACATCTAAACGAGATGTCATTCAGGACCCTGTACACTGTGTACGTTAGGCCCACATTGCAGTATGCTGCGCCAGATTGGAACCCTCACCTAGCGAAGCATATAAGGAAACTAAAGAAAGTGCAAAGGTTTGCAACAAGACTTGTCCCGGAACTAAGGGGTATGTCCTACGAGGAGAGGTTAAGGAAAATCGACTTGACACTGGAAGACAGGAGAGATAGGGAGGATATGAAAACAACATATAAAATACTGAGAGTAATCGACAAGGTGGACAAAGACAGGATGTTCCAGAGATGGGACGCAGCAACAAGGGGGGACAGTTGGAAGTTGAATACTCAGATGAATCACAGGGATGTTAGGAATTATTTCTTTAGTCACAGAGTTGTCAGGAAGTGGAATAGTCTTGGTAGTGATGTAGTGGAGGCAGGATCCATACACAGCTTTAAGGAGAGGTATGATAAAGCTCATGGAGCAAGAAGAGTGACCGGGTAGCGGTCAGCTGAGCACACACACACACACACACATGTTTAAGGCCTGTGTCATGCAGACGCCTGCTAGAAGCTACAGATTAAAACAAACTATTTTCGATGGTTAAGCGCGATCAGCTAGTGAATTTTCTCAGTGAGTGAAAGTCATCCCTGGGTAAGTGGAGAAAGTGGGCAGATGGATCTTTAACTTTCTAAACAACAGAAGACAAAGGAAATGGTAAACATTGTTCTTGGAGGCCGACACACTGAAAAGCTCTTTTCCATAAGATGCAATTCCCTCCCCCATCTATTTCCTCATCCTCATAGCTGGCGGAGCCGAAGATGAAGATAACAGTACCGTTTCTTCGTCTGTAGATGATACTAAAATCTGCATAAAACTGTCCTACATTCAGGACACAGTTAATATCCAAGCAGATATAAACCAAGTTTTCCAACGGGTCTCAGAAAACAGCACGATGTTCAGAGCATATTTCCGTTATTCCCTTATGGAAAAACCTGAGAAAATGAAGATAAAAATTGAGTATATATAATTTCAAACAATGCAATAGAGCAAAAATCTAATGTGAAAGACCTGGGAGTGATAATGTAAGAGGATCTAATCATAGAGGACGACATATGTCATTGTGACATCAACGAGAAAAGGATAATATGGATAATGATAGCTTTCAAAACAAGGGACGCCATTCCAATGATGATCCTCTTTAAGCCATTTATTCTCTCTAGGCTGGAATACTGCTGTATGCTAACAGCTCCTTTCAAGGCAGGTGAAACTGCAGATCTAGAGAATGCACAGAGTACCTTCACTGTATGAATTAGTTCAGTCAAGCATGTTAACTACTGGGAACGTTCGAAATCCGTTCACTTGTACTACCTGGAACTCAGGCGAGAGAGATACATCTGAATCTACATCTGAAAAATTCTAGAGGGACTGACCCCAAATCTGAACACATAAATCACTCACTACGAAAGCAAAAGATACGATACAACATACCACCAGTGAAAATCAGGAGAGCCATGAGTACACTAGGAGAAAACAGAGTGTCTAAGACCCAAGACTGCTCAACAGGTTCCCATCAAACGTAACGGAGGGAGCTGGATTGATCCCCAAAGTCAGTGTCCGATCAACCGGGCTGTTATTTGTACGTTAGATTGATGCATTCAGCAGAAATAGCCTGGTTGATCAGGCCCTGATCCATCGAAAAGCCTGGTCGAGGATCGAGCCGCGGGGGCACTGACCCCTGGAACAAACTCCAGGCAGACTCAAAGTAGATATTAGAAGTGAAAGAGTCTCATGTAAATTCCGTAGTGACATGCAGAAAAAACGGTATTAGTGATTGAAATGCTGACTGAAAGACTAACTCGCCCCCTGGCTAGCAGACAACATCCTCAGAACCATTGATAAAAAACATACATAGGTATAGAATGGACTTAGAATGGACTTAATTCCCACCAAAATTAGTAAAAAATAATAAAGATCAACACTTACGCCAACAAGTTTTAAGAAATACAGAGGGATAACAAAAAGCCTGGGAAACACTCTCTCAAGTACCGGACTTAAGAAATATTGCTAAATCTCAAGAAATTATACTAACCTGACTTAATGAACCATCGCTTATATTGTTTATAACGTAGATAAACTTAATAACTTCTTCCCAACTATAGAGGCAGTTCTTGTCAACAAAATCCTGTACTCTATTGTTCAGGTTAGTTATTACAACAGTGGTAGTTATCAAGACTTCTAACAGACTACAATAATTTTTCAGAGGCAACTTCAATAATAAATGGACTAAAAAACAATGCCGGTAAAAAAAAATCGATTATACTTCCAATGATATTTAAGAAAACTATCCATTGCTGTCTTTACCCATTACAATCCTGTT